GAAAGCCTCTTTGTTCTTACTGTGAAAGGTTGAGGGATATTGAAGATCACACCAATTTCTCCAAGCATATCTGGGGACATTAATTTTGACAGGAACTGGAAAGACTCCAAGTTAACTTGTTATATTGGAAAAGAAATCACTTCTAGATTTAGCATTTACTGACTGAGATACATATTTATGATGGATTTTTACTTTATTCTGCTAAGTTAACTTTATCATATTGATTACTAACCAAAGTCTGAGAAGAATATTACACTACAACCTGGCCAAATGAAATTCCTGTTTAATTTTTTATAGTAACGCTTCTATTTCCAAGGTCACCACCAAATTCTGTTTCTTTTTTACTAATTACGCAATTCAACATCTGTGTTTCTTTTTCATCATCGCATAATCCAAACATATATGTATTATTTTCATGATGATAGCTACATCGTTCAGGAAGCTTAGTCCGTCATTCTGTAATGTTTCTTCAGCAGATTTTGGACATCTTGATTAAAACCAGGCAAGGCATGATTTTCACCAAGTAATTTCATCAACTGTCACATGCTATCCCATTAAGATGATATGAAATGTAATGTGCTACGACTATAATGTTGGAGGATCTGACACAACTTATACATGTGCTTTATTCATATACACTGACCTGATCCGTTCCGTTTTTGTGTGTTATTACATCCTGCAGAATTAGATTTGTCAGCTTTGCATACAAGAATATGATGATTGAAAATGTGAAGAGAATATTCTATACCACTGCTCCAGATACTATAATGTAGAAATCCGTTGGTATTTCATTTTGTATGATAATATCCATTTTGGGGGGGTAATATTCTGCTCTCATCTCTGGAACCTGGGGAAGTAAAGAACAAGTTACAACTCAGAAAAAAATGTGTTAAGATATTTGTCATAGAGAAGTGAAGAATTTCACTTCAAATTATCAAAATCTCTATAATATTAGGTCACCAGATTCTCAATTTCGAAGTAAGTACCACTTAGATATCTCATATATAGGAATTTCTTACTCTTAGGTGTCAATTTTAATAGGAAATATATATTAAGATAGGCCCATAGGTCAGTCCATTATATGTGATAAACATTGATAATTATGCTGAGAGGAAAATAACATTACCAGCTGGACAATAAAGTCTTCAGATACTCCTTTGAAAAGGTATGCATTTTCTACCGTTTTGCGGAAAAGATGCTGAGCGATCCCAGATCTGATTGCCTTTGGCAAATCTTGTAAAACTTCTTCTTGCTGAAGTTCTGCTGTTTTGAACTTAAGAGTCACATGTGCTAGCATTTGCTCCTTTAAGCCTTCCGGAAGGCGATTCTTGCTTGCATATCGCAAGATCTCATGAATGGCGTCCCTCTTCAAAACCACCATTAAATAGGCATTATATTGCTGTAAACATTTCTGAGATGCATGTACCAAATAAATCTGAACAAGCACTATTTTTAGGAGGATTGGGACAATGAAAAGTGATTTGGTAGGTCTTGGATCGTTGAATTTTAGAAAAACCTTAAGCTTATTGAATGCAGAATATCAGTTCTGCTGAAAATATCATGTCTTGATGGTATTTTGATTATTAAATTAGCAAAAACACACGACAAGTGAAAAAGTATGTTGATTTACAATAGATGTGATAATCATTGAGTGCATGATCATGTGGAAACAACGGTGAGGGATTCTCATATATGATATGCATTGATGCTTGTGCACTCTCGATTTGTTTAGCTTATCTCTATGATTCTATACTGTGGAAGTGTTGGCAAAAGATTACCATGGCAAATGTTCGGACAGAACTGTGGACGATAAGATTGGTCATGTTCCCAATCAAGTAGGCAGTGAGGCCGATGTTGAAAAGCATGTAGAATATGGAGAAAATCTTCTCCCCCGTGTTTTGTGCATGCAAATCTCCGTAGCCAGTTGTTGTGAGGGTAACAATTGACCAATACATGGAATAGGTATATCCTAGCCAGACACTTCTGTCTTCAAAATCAGGAACTTGGGACCCAATCCACGTATCATCTGTTTGACTATAATGTGTCGCGAGCCAGAAGTAGAAGCAGCCTGCCGTGTGTACAGCAAATAACGTCACCTGTGATAAAACGATAATACCTAGTATAAGTAGTCTGTTATCTCACAAATTAGATAGTTGATATTGACGTAGAATAGAATTTAATTTCATGTTCACTAGTACATGCTGAATGGCTGCACTCGGAGTTGTAACTGTTACACCCAAGTGCATGGTTGTGGACGGGATACTTACACATATTAGTTTACAGTATCTTGTCCAGAAGTAGCTGAATCGGGTGTCTTTCTCTAGCCTGATGGATAAAAGGTGTTAATTAGGTTGCTCTTTTGATATCGAAACATATAATGGTATTGAGCATTCACTTGAGGGATAGAATTTATGAAAAAAGGTGGGGGGGGGGGGGGGGTTTTTTTTG